TATATATATATATATATATATATATATATATATATATATATATATATATATGTTTGATATATTTAAGTGGCAATAGGATGTGGGATAGATAGAAATTAAAAGATTTTTTATTATATTACCGTAATGCGATCTACCCAGCTTACGGTGTTCACTTAAATTTTCTATATTTTCTGAGGGGGGGGCTAGTGCGTATTTTTTTTAAGAGGAGTGAATTCATTTTGGTGAAAACTATAGATTTTTTACCCTTCATAATTTGGGAAAGTGTTTATGACCGCACACCACAGTACTTATCCCACCTCATTAAAAAAAAAAAAAAAAAAAAAAATGAGAAAGGGCCACGAACCCCGCCTAACTAGATACGAATAAGTCTCCGTGATGGCGTGTCGTCCTTCCAGCAACAGATCCAGCAGCTGCCTGTAACTGATCTCGTCGTCAGGATGGTTCTCGACGAGGTCCATGCGGTCGCCGAGGGCCTTCAGGTACTGGTCGGCGGACGTGGCCAGGGCCTCGGGGACGAACTCGCCGTAGTCGACCATGCTCACTCTGTGCAGGAAGGGGGCGGGGCTAGGATTCGTGATGGTTGTTTTGGGGTGTGTGCTCTTGCTGTGTTTCGTTTCTGGTGCAACATTCATTGATATATGTATACATACATACATATACATACGTATATATATATATATATATATATATATATATATATATATATATATATATATATATATATATATGCATACAACACACACACACACACACACACACACACAACACACAGTACATATATATATATATATTATATTATATGTATATATAATATATATATATATATATATATATATATATATAATATATATTATAATATATATAATATTAATAGATAGAGAGAGAGATAGAGAGAGATATAGATAGATAGAGAGATAGATAAAAGATAGATACAAACACACATTCACACACACATACATATATACATACATACATACATACATACATATATATATTATTATATATATATATATATATATATATATATATATATATATATATATATAAAGAGAGAGAAAAAACACACACACACACAGAGACAGAGGCAGAGATGAATCGATAGATAGACAAATTGATCGATGGATTGATAGACAGAAATAGATCGGTAGATAGGTAGATAGACAGAAATAGATCGGTAGATAGGTAGATAGACAGAGATATGATAGATACATGGAAATAGATCGATAGATAGATAGAGATAGATCGATAGACAGATATAGACATTTTATGCATATTTTTCTTCAAAATTTTTACTCCTTCCTATATGGTTATCATAGGTATCACCAAAAATTATGTTTTAATTTATCCCCTTTTCTTTGCCAAACTTACTTTTATAAACGTAGCATTATGCTTTTCTTACTGATATTTCCTTCAATTTTTCTTTCTTTTTTTATAATCCAATCTCTACTTTGCCCTTATTTGGCGTAAGTAATATATATATTTTTTCATTTTTTTGTTACGACTTGTAAGTATGCCATGTAAAAAAATAGGCTAATATATTCTGAAATAAACAACCAACATCCCCTGGAATTAGACAACGCGCATTTATTAACAGTTTCCCATTTCAAAGCGATTTACTAAAACAACTTACCTGAAATTACTATCGGCCAATCCCTCAATGGTGGAGATAAGCGACGGAAAGACAGGTACAGTGAGGACAGCGATTAGATTACCGGTGTAGGATAGCGCCAGGATTAGGCCCCCAATCCACCACACGCCCACGAGCAGCCTGGCCGCCCCCTTCTTGCTCACCGTGGAAGAACTCTGCTGAACCAAGCTCTGTGGGAGGGAGGTGCGGGGTGGTTATTCGATGGGACAGAAGGGGGATTGTTGTGTGTGCGCGCGTGTGTGGGTAAGATGAACAAAGGTATAGGTGTATTTATGTATTTACGGGCGAGTTCGTACAAGCAATGAGGGATTTGATGGTGTAAATATTGTTAGTACACACACACACATATATAGATATAGATAGATGAGTTGACAGCTGTTGTATAAAACTACATTTTTTTTAAATCTATCAATCCATCACATCACCTTAAACACGAGAATCGCAACATCCGTGAAGGTGGTGCCCTCTGTCGCCCGGATCAGGAGGTAGATGACTGGCGTGGTGAGCACAACGGCCCCCACGACGGACGCCCACAGCAGGGGGGTGAAGGGCAGGAAGAGGTTCCTCCAAGCGGGCAAGGGCGGCGGGACTCGGAGCGCGAAGCCGAATCCCTCCGTGAAGTAAGTGGCGGTGTAGTCGAAGTCTCGCGCCCTTTCGTACACCACCGTGAAGTAGTTGACGGTGATGTTCTTTTCGCCGCGGTACACGTCCCCCAAGAGGCCGGTCCAGGTGCCGTTCTCCAAGCTGCCCCACAGGTCGTCGGACGCAACGCTGGTGGTCGTGAAGGTGAAGTTAAGCCAGTCCCCGAGCGCCTTCAGGATAAGGATGTTCATGCCGTCGACGTCGTCTGTC